TATATACACTAGTACTAGATATATTTCGGTATGTATCATGCTTATACCATACCCCCCCCCCCCCCCCCTTTCTCTCACACACAGGAAAAAGATCTTGCAGTATCAAAGTCACTAGAATCCTTATCCTGGATCCCGTTTCTGATACTGGGGTGCTATAAACTAAGCCGTAATAGAAAAGGGGGTCTTAAGTGCTACTTCCCAACTATACAGCAGGCAGAAATAAAATGACCATACCTCAACACAGATAACAGATGTCACTTGAGCACCAATATTGACAATGCATGCCGTTGATAAACCATTTCCAAAAACTGCAGCAAGACCTTCCTGGTTCAACCAATTTAAACAGAACATGAATAAACAAAATGATTTAACCAACATTTTCATCCCTACTGTTTGATTACACAAGGTACAGTTAGCACTTCTTTATAGTTATTTCAGTAGTCTGCATTTCCAAGAGCAGGTGACTACATATTCAAGAATAAAGTTTTCCGCATTTCAGCAAACCCTTTAACATCCACATCTTCACGAATGTTTCTTCATTAGCCCTCGGGTAAATAAGAATATTTCATCAATAAGGACAATGGATGGTAAGAGAGTCTCCACGATCCAAAAAGACAGGCGAAATAGGAACTCCAGAAAAGTTTCTAACATGTGTAAAATTACCTTAGTAAATAAAAATAAAGAAAGTTTCTAACCTCTGCAATTATAGTTGTGCAACCAAAACTTCATAACCATGAAAGATCCAGGTTTTCAAATCGCCACATGAGTAATGGCACTTTGAAAATTAATAAAGCTATCCGAAAAGCAAGCCTTGTCTTCTTGTTAATTTGGAAGACATAAATTGATTTGAAACAAAAGCAATTCTCTGATACCACTCATTTAAAAAGGATAATTTTGGTATTTACATATGTTTGGGTTACATGTCAAAAATCTTCTCTAATTTTTTAAACTTCGTGCCCACTCACACCTTCACATAAGGTGGGATAGAGGGAGTAATACTTAGGATCTTGAGATTATGATAAGAGCAAAGCGGGTAGGAGAAACATAACAGAGCAGTGACACCCTAAACGTAGAATTTTTGGGGAGCAATTAAGTTACATAATACTTACATAGATTTACCTCCGCCCCCCGAAAACGAACCACTATGCCCAACTTTCAAATAAGTAAGTTCTATTAGTAGATTCTGCCCCCCTCTTCAATTTTATCAAAAAGTAGGTGCTCTATGAGAAATCAAGTCGGGTCCTTTCGCGGGTAAGTTATTGCTAAATGTAATGGGTACAAGATAACAACAACAACAACTACGCCTCAATCCCAAACAAAGTTGGGTCGGCAATATGAATCCTCAATTCTTTCTTCAAGCTCAACTCATATTAAAATCATGCCAAAATAAAATAATAGTAGTGAAAATAAGTTTTACTACTAGAGAGAGATCTTTTTCTTCCATTTGCCCCATCTTTAGTTAAATCTGCATTGACTCCAAGGATTTGTAGGTCTTTCGAGACAATTTTTTTCCATGTGATTTTAGGTCTACCACGTCCCCTTATAACGCCTTCATTCACCATAGTTTCACACCTATAGAACTGCTCATCTTTAGGGCGACGCAGGACATGACTAAATCATGTCTCCTATTAAAAGAAAAGTTGGGTTTTTTTTTTTTTTTGAGAAAGGTTAAAGAAAAGGTAAATTGGATGTATTAACTTTGATTGATATTAAATAGCCCAAAAACAACTTCTAAATAGTAGCCTAATTTCCCTTAGAAAGCCAAGTGCAACTCCCATTTTAGAAAGTGCGGCAAGCCTATCTAGAAAATTGCAATTAAGGTAGTAATATGTAAGGTCTTCTACAATTAGAGCTACTAAATGGCACTGCGTGACGATACGTACCTATACACACAAGTGTTTTAATAGCATTTTTAATTTAAAAAAGTGGATTTTGTGTTGTTTAAAATGCAAAGGACAAGTTTACCAGATCTTCCTAGAAATAGAATGAAGAAGCAATGTCATGTAGGACGGTAGTAAAAGAGTTCTGCACGGGTAAATAAAAGGTCGGTATTTAAACTATTTATGCATATATTTCAAGCAAGAATGAAGGTTTAGATCTGACTTGTGAACATGGAATCATTTTATTTTAAAATTAAAAAGTTCAGGAACATAACATCACCTGGTGGACTACTGCTGAGCTGAAGCGCAAGTCTCGCAACACGATAGAAAGCATTTCTTTAATTTCTGCTTGCATAAACAACAAAGAAGTGTTATGCCAAAGAAGAAATGGTGTGATCATATGTTAAAGCCACATAACAGATCAGAAACATCTAGTCTACAGCCTTTGCACCTCTTTTACTTTGTTGTGCATGGGTCTAGGAAGCCTCCAGTGAGTTTTTATGAAAGACAGAGCACTCTCAAGGAAATGGACACAAAACAAGCAAGATATAAAACATAAAAGATCCAGTGACCAGTTAGCGACTAGATTCCTTGTGAATGCACTAAGAGGATAATGGATGGTTTGATTGATGAGTCATTGAAGGTGGTGAAATTTGAAAATATTTCCAGGCGAAGAAAGTAAAATGCAGAAACATTTTTGTCACCTCCACCAGAGGCAAGTTAGCAAAGATTGACATGAAATTAAAGTCTTATTCTTCTTCTTTATTCAATTTGATGAAATTAAAATCTTTTTAAAATGTTGCTACTGCTGAAGTCCAGCCTGGGTCCATCAATCTGAAGATTAGTCACGTACAAGCAATACCTAAGAAATCTTGCCAAAGAAATTAAATGACAATCAGAGGAAGCGGTAGGGAAATTTCCACTTCACCAAATTGTTGGGCATCTCCATGGTTGACAACACCCTCTTTCAAAGCTCTTGTTCTGAATTCTAGTTTTTCCATTTCAAGTTCCTCGTAATGGGTGAGTAGTGAAGTTACTTCGAGAGGCCTTTTTATGATGGGTCACTATCTTCGGCATTAGGGGTGGGAAGGAAATTTTAATGCTAGGAAAACTAGGGAAGACAAGAGAAAGGAGAAGGAAATCACTTTCTCACGGATATTTCCATTTCTTTGTTTGGTGTTAACACTTAACAGTATGAATAGGAAAGAAAATGGAGATATAATTTTCTTTCGAGCCTATTAATTTTAATTTCCCTTTCCTCTTCGATTCCCTCTTTTAATACTTCTGCCTTCCTTTGCCTTACCTTCCCTGTTTCTAAAATCAGAAGCAACTAGACCAGAACAGCTCTTTGGATTCAGCTTGATCTATTGTCAACTAAATTGACTGTCCTCGTTTCTCAGTCCAACAGGACGGTGCACGAGTAAGAGGATACACTGTCACATTCTTTATTTATATTATGGTGGTGTTGGCCAACTTGAGAAAACCTTAACTAATCCACCAGGTAGCCCACTAGAGCACACAAGGACAAATGTGGGGTATCCCTGCCCACTAAGGCTGGAGCAGCTGGGTAATCATACTGTCACACACTCAAATATCTCTCTTGATAGTTTAGTTAGTGGAGTATCTTTTTCCGTAGAACACTGAAACTTCACATTTCTTCATAAATGAAAACAAAAGTACAGATGACACAGTGGCATTAATAAACCAACCCTGGGAGAATGCTCCCAAGAGAGACCTCATGCAGAAGAGAAATAGCAAACTTAGCTAGCCTATGAGCAGCTTAATTCCAAGATCTAGTGGAACATGCACCTTTTCATTTTTCTCCCAAATATTGCAAATTTAACCAGAACAACAACATTCTAGCCTAAAGATAAATTTACCAGAGTTATGTTTCAGACACAGAAAAGAACAAATAGGGAAAAAATAGAGTATGTGTACCACGACTGTCGAATGTCTCTGGAAGAACAAGGATTGCAGAATACATGTTTCTCATGCTATGAGGAATATGCAATTTCTCAACCAAAATCCAATCCCAGATGGTATGCAGGTCTTCAAGAACCTAAAAGATACCCCCGACTATTATATCAAAAATAATGAACACTGAAACTCTAGTTAATATGAACAAGTTACATTGATATACCTTTACTGGAATATCAATAAACAACATTTCCAAAGAAATGTCAATGCTCGATGCAAAACTTGGAATGCACAATCCAAAAACATTAATTTCAAAAGTAAAATTACTAATTTGTGAGTAACAACGGGAAGAAACAGATGTACATCAAATTTTCCGTGCATCGAAAGGAAACTTTGAAACAAGATATTACCTGCTGCGTAGGGTAATGTTGAGATATATTAAGATGACCTCGGCGTATAGGACGGCACAAGCAATATGGTTCAGTTGGGGATATTCGTAGAGCTTCCTCTCCACATATGTACTCTCTATATTTACGTTCACTGGAATTATATTCAACCTTAATCTTGCTTTCCTTCAGAGTGGGGTCCTCGCTGGTACCACCCTCGTTTGGTTCGGCTTCTACTGCTATAGCTAAACATAATTACTCATTCTTGAAATAAAGTGAAACTAACATAATAAGCAAATTTAGCATGCTCTCGTATCATCTACTATTAAAAATCAAAGAAAAACTGAACTAATAAGAAAGTATCATCTCTCCGACATGGACGTTCTGATCAGTTAGTAGTCTTCTCACTGAGTATAAGCATTGAATGTTTTAATAACAGAGCTGATAAAAGCTAAATTTCCAGTAGAGATATAATCAAACAGGAGCCCTTAGTATTCAGAACAAAATGTCGAAAAGAAAGACAACATTTTCAAGTCCACAATTTAAGATTAGGTAATCAACTATAGAAAATAACAAATAAATTTTAAAACAGGACTGTCGTACAATATCCTTATCGTAATGTTCATCCAAGAAGCTTGACAGAGGAATATCAGATAATAGTTAAATGCAGAAAGATCTGCCATACATACTAAGGTATTAGAACAGCCACAGCAGCTTATGCAGTATATTATTCAGAAGGCACGACTCGGCTGCTTTAGACATTAACAGCAGTGAATATTGTCATGCCAACTGAAACATAGGGCTACTTGCCAACCAACTAACTGGCTAGGACATCACTAGCAAGCAAAGAAGAACGAGCAGGCTATGTATGTAGACCCCAAAGAGTAATCAAATGCAACACAAAGATTTGTGAATCTGTACATATCATAATTGGTTTATAACAAAACTATACAACACTATAACATTCAGCATCGAGAGCACAAGAGCCAAACCTAAACGAAGTTGTCAATATGATAATGTTTCACTCAAGAATGAACAGGTTACAGTTCTCACCCTTTGTTGAAGAATGAGGGACATTTTTTTCTAAAACATCAGTCCAAGTGAACTCTGGCTCTTTCGTGTTATTCTGCGGAGGATATGCATCCACATGTCCCATCTGCAGAGACACACATAAGATACACACAAAAGACTGTGAATAGATATATTTGGAAAAGCATGACTATAGATACTTTAGTTGCACTAGTTTCGATTCCAAGAAATTGTTCCCGAAAAAATCGAGTTTCCATAGCTCAAACAACTAGCTCTCATCACACATGTACATGAAGATCTCACAGAATCCAAAAGACAAATTTCGTATTATATTTAAAAAGCATAAAGAATTCTCCCAGGTACCTTGCGTGGATAAGAACTGTTAGCTACCTCCTCATCCAAGAATGGAATTCTCAACAGCGAAGCAATCTGTTGATTAAAAGGTTCATGCTCACACATATGATTAAACTTCTGTTTTTCAAATTCACAGAAATAAATCAAGTTGAACATTGTGTACTAATAATTCATGTACAAACCATGTCATACGCTCTTTCCCGCTCCATATGCTGTGCAGTTGTAACCTGAGAATTCAGCATCTAAACACCCAAAAAAAAAAAACAATTTCAAAAAAGATATCATCAAAACAAAATAATCACATAAAATTACAAACTTGAAATCCGAATAAAAAATAAAAATAAATTAAAATCAAACTCAAGTTAGAGAAAAATCATAAGAAATTGCAAACTTTAGTTAGAACTTTTTTAAAACTCCTCCCTCCGTCCCAATTATGTGGCACTGTCTGATTAGGCACGGAGTTTCAAGAGAAAAAAAAAAGTCATAACAAGTCATAAACATTTGTATGCCCCTAAATCATCTTGGTAACAGTAAAATGAAAAGTTTAAAGTTAAATTATTTTCAAATATGGAACTGTGTCATTCTTTTCCAGATGAACTAAAAAGGAAAATATGTCACATAAAATAGGATAGAGCGAGTATACAAATTCAAACTTTGGCCTTACTTGATCTTGAACATGTCGTTTAGGTAATTGAGTAGTGCGACGGGAAATGCAATGAGGTATATTGAATGGAGTATCCTGATTAGCCAATCCAATTCTGATATTTGCGGAACCTAAATTTACAGTGCAAATTTTTTTTGACATAATTTACCAACTGATTAAGCAATTAATTAACTAACACACACAAAAGGTCGAAATTGAGAGGAGTTAGGGTTTTTAAGACCTGGATTAATGACGACGATATTGGAGCCACGCTCGGTGAAGAGGTTCGTAGGGACTACTGTTTTCATGTAATCCTGTGTACCATGCAATTAACGAAAATTGTTAGATTCTTGTGTGTGTGTGTGTGTGTGTGTGTGTGTGTGTGTGTGTTTAGCAATGGAGAAAGTAAGTACCATGGCGAAAAGAGCTTGAGTTGGTGCCGAGGGAACAGGAGCTACTGAACTGAAGAAGAAAACGTGATGTTAAGCGGGTTGCCTTATATACTCCTTGAAATTGACTCGAATGAAATATGCCTGGCAATATTTGAGTTGAGATTGAAATAAAAAAACTTAATTTAAAGTATAAGTTAGAAAAAATTGTGAAAATTTATGCTTGGATAAGAATTTCACTTGAAAATTAATTTTGTATAAGTAAGGAATTGGAGTTTTGACACAGTTACCCACAATAACAAAACTATTTACCTTTATCTACCCATTTGTTTTCCTACCCATAAACTAATTACATTTCTTACCCATAGTAGGTTTTGTGGGGAATTTTTTTTTATTCTCCAATTCTTTTTTATTTCTATGCTTCTTTTCTTTTCTTTTTTCTTTTTTTTTTCTCCTTTTTTTTCTCGTTTTCTTCTTATTTTTTCTTTTTTCCTTGTCTAATTTCATTTAACTTCTATTTTTTTATATTCTTTTTCTCTTCATAATCTAATTTCATTTACTGTTTTCAATATTTTTTATGTACCAATTAAATGTAGTTAATATAACCAAAAAAATATTAACTAACGTATGATACCAGTATAGTATATAGCTATATCAACAGGGTATACAATTGTACGCAAAGAGTTAGAAAAATTTTAATCAATTATTAAACTGAAATAAAAAATTTAAAAATTCTAAAAGGATCTAATTGTAAGAGTATACCGTTATATCATATAGCATACTATATATTTTATTTTATTTTTTGCATTTTCAGTTTGCCCCTCACGCTTGGGTAAAAGCTTAAAACAAATTAAAAGGGAAAAGACAAGTGAATTTACGGGTAATAAGTATACTATTATAGTATATTGTATACTATTACAGCATATTGTTACAGTATCTTGCATATTATTACAGTATACCATAACAATATATTGTATACTATAATAGTATACTGTTGCAGTATAACTATATACTCCTATAGTATATTAGTATACTGTAGCGGTATATTATTTTGTAAACTATAATAGTATAGTGTTGCAGTATAGTTATATACTCTTACAGCATATTGTATACCGTAGCGGTATATTGTAGCTGTGTTCTTCTTCGATTTAATTTTCAACTGAAAATTTCGATCTCAATCACCTCAAATCAGCTCCAAACGCTATCAAATTTCAGTATGAACTTCCATAAGGTACTATAAGCAATATTTAACAGCACCCACTTTGAATCAAACAAGAAATCTTCAAAAATAAAATTGAGCTTCAAGCCCAACAATGGTGGATATTCAAATACACATAAAAATTTAGATCGGAAAGCTTACTCGAAGATACTATAAGCAATATTTTATAGCACCACATCGAATTAAATAATAAATCTTCAAATAATAGCACCACTTCAACAATTAATTAGTACTCCATTAGAAAACCGAGCGAGAGAAAACAATATCAAAATTGTTAAGATTCCATTGAAACTAAAACTAAATTAAGGTCGAATAAGAACGAATATTACGTGTTGCTGATGTGACTAGCTAGTGGCGATTACAGTAAGAATAAATAAGAAGAAATATAAAAGAGACGGAGAATTTGAGGAAGGTAAAATGAGGAAGAAGAAGAAGAGATACATAATAAATGTGGGTAAATAGTTTGGGGACCATGGGTAGGAATAAATAGTTTGGGCCTGGGCATTAAAGGGTAAATAATTTGGAATTAATGTGTATAAAGTGAGATTTTCTCTAAGGAATTGTGATGGAAGCTTATAACTAATTGAAGAGAAAATATTTTAACTTATGCATTTGCATACTAGTTATGAGTATTTGTAAATACTAAATTTTAAGCTAGCGTTTGGACATAGTTTTGGCTGAAAGTCGAAAAATAAGTTTTTAAAGTTGTGTTAAAAAATAATTTTTGGAAGTTGAAGTTGTGTTTGGACATGCATTTTATTGGGGGGGAAAAATTGAAGTTTTGTGAGTGAAAGAAAAATTTCACCCGCAGCTTTTGGGAACTTAAATTTTTTTTCAAAAATTGATCATATGTTGGGTTTAAGCTTCTTAGAGCTTAAAATAGAGTGAACGGAAAATGGAGGAAAAAAGAAATTTTTTGAGTTTCTCTCTTTGACAAAGGGACATTGTCCCATATTGGAGAAGAAAAATAGTTTTGATGGGTATATATACAATTGCACTTCTTCTAACTCTTAAGAATCGTTTAGTAGGGTGTATAAGAATAGTGCGGAATAAGGTGCATTAGTAATGCATGGGTTAGTAATGCAAGCATTAGTTATGCATATATTATTTCTTATCTACTGTTTGGTGTGTTGTATTAAAATTATAATGCATTGCATAAGTTTTAAGAAAAATAGTTGTTTACAAAAAATGCTCTCCATATTCTCTTACTTTAAGGGACTTTTAGGATAATTTTACCTTTAACCATACTAATACATGCATTAATAACCTTGGTATTACTAATGTCATGGTTTTCTATGCATTACTTATACATGGGATAATACCAAGTATGATGTATAACTAATACTTGTATTAGTTATACACAGGTTGGAAAAATATACCAAATAAGGTATTAGTAATGCATAGAGCTAATGCTTGCATTGGTTTTTCTAATACCTCCTACCAAACGACCCTTTAAAGAGTTGAGAATAAGGCAAGTCTCGCGCTGTCGTCGTCGCTCGGCTCGACTTCGGCTTCGAAAAATTTGATTGATTAATTTTTTTGACCAAATTTATTTTTTAATATTAACACAATATTAATTAATCCAAATTAGACCGTTACTATAACGGTAATTCAATTTTTCTCTGTTTTAATTTTCCCGTTATAATTTGACTTTGGCTGTTTGCATAAATGGCCGTTTTATAAAACAGCCATTGAGTTGCAACCTTACGTGAAGAGTTGAACTCTTCAGTATAACCCGACGTTTTTGGCTATAAATACATGAACTCTCCCTCAGATTTTCCTTACCAAAATTCTGATTTCTCCTTCTTCTTTCTGCATTGTTAAAGCAGTAAATGTGATTTACTATTGTTCTTTGCGTTCGTTGTCACTGGGGTTTGAAGTACCACTACACCAATGAGGTTTGGGAGGAAATAATCCTAAACTTCGGGTACTAGAAGAGGATTAAGTTCCTTAAGGAAACACTGTGAATTCAGTGGGCTCAGATCAATTCTGTTCTTCTGCATTTCTGATTTTACATTATTTCTATTTTTTTAAATATATTTTCGAATACAGAATACTAACAATCATATTCCATGAACAAACAATATTTTTTAAAATTGTTATTGAAAAAAGTAGCCAAAATCTATGACTAAACAAGAGCTAAGTTTTATACTTTAAGTGAAATATTGAAACAGTGGCTTGAAAGAATATTTCAAATAAAATATTTGTTTCCACTCACAAATTTTAACATCACAAACTTACTGTTTAAACAAGCTTTTTCTCAACATCAACTTAGCCATAAAAATTATTTCATTATTTCAACTTCGAAGTATTATTTGTAATCAATATTTGTTGTACAATTTAGCCCATTATTCAAGGACGCACGCACCTTGGTTTATGCGGAGTCATTCGACATCGTTTCGCCGAAAAATTGTATTAAATATTGATATACAGTCAATTGAAATCCAAACAGATTAATTATAAAAAATAAGCCAAATGACACAACTTGTCATGAAAATTTGCATTAGTTCACTGGTCAAGTGATACTACTCCGTATGATAGAATGGTGGTTCGAACCTTGTCGCTGCAATTTTTTTAATAATTTTTTGAGCCTCTCTTCGGTGTAAAGTTTGATGTCAACAAGGGTTGAACCACCTCTTTCAACTGGCAAGAGCAAAGAAAAACCAATAGGTTTGTGGTCTATTTCGTCTATTATAGTGACAATAACATACTGGAACAAATTATTTTTTAATTTCAACAATAACAAAGCTGCTCATTATGTAATTTAACGATGAAAGCATATCGAGGAGACTTTTAGTAAAGTATCTAAGTTATATTTTCTTCTAAATATGTCGTTGTTACTATAATATGTTTATTTGCTCATGTCTTTAAATATCGACACTGCTTACAAAAATATCTGCGTACGCTCCTGCCATTATTTCAACTGAAACTGACTAGTTTTTCCTATTATGTGAAAAAAAGACTTACAATTCACATTCGAAACCCAAAACTTCATGACCAAATTTAGATATAAAAATTACCTTATGTTGCTTCAACCGGACTTCTGAAAATGGATTATAAGTTTATTTCTCTAATTTTTAGACCGATAAACCATCCTTCACGTCTAATTCGAACATTTCCAAGAATAACAATTTTATATTTCCTTGTTCCTGTCCATTCAAAACCAAGAAGTTCGTAGGGACAATGAGAAAATAAACTAGAAGCAGATTCAATTATCCCATTCAAACCACCTTACAGTTGCAAAGCCTTTCCCCAATCATTATTCTAATGCTTGTCGATTAGAATATGGAGATGAACGAAGAATTATAATTATCCGACTTTACGGTGGTAAAAATATAATCACCAGAAAGTACAACATTTGTGGTATTACCAAATGGCCAAAGGTATTTGTATACGGGTAAAAGCGGTCTCGTAGTACATCCCGTTTTCCGACATGATAAGTCAAATTTGAGATATGGTAATTGGGGGGCGTAGACCGAGGTAGAGATCTTATCAATTCTGAGTCCACACTATTACGCCGGCCTTTGAGGATATCGGGGTCGTGATTGGGGATCGGTCCTGGCCTTGATTAACTTCGAAGAACGTTGTCAGATAGTCAAGCTCGGCCAACAGAAGGTCGTGATATCCGTGACCGACCGAATATCACGGCGGAGATCTCGGCATATATCGACCTGAGATCGGCAATCAATTAATTAGGGGATTTTTACTTTTTATAGAGTTGTACCTAATATAAGACTCCCCTACTATATAAAGGGGGTCTAATTACTTGTAAGAAGCATTGTAACACGCATTCCAAGCAATACATTATTTTTTTCTCTTTAAGCTTTTATTCAATTATGTCCTGATACCGATCGAAGTGCATCAAATTCGAGGGTGGCTAATCTCCCAAGACTGTA